CCAGCCCACCAGCCCACCAGCCCACCAGCCCACCAGCCCACCAGCCCACCAGCCCACCAGCCCACCAGCCAATACTTACTTTGCTTACAGTTGTCTCCATAGAAACCAGGTTTACAAAGACAGTATCCTGATCGTGGATCGCAGATTGCGTCTTTTGGGCATGCGCACTTGTTGCTGCAGTTTGTTCCATAGAAGCCTCGAGGACACACTTGAGAAATACAATAATGTTACGTCTTGTATTCTGAATAAATTAGGGCTGCGGATTGATTATGCCTATGAGTAGGCAGCATGGATAAGGGAAGGAATTTATGGATGGATGCATATGCGGATGAATGTAATAGATGGAATAAGAGAATGGATAGATGGAAAAATAATATGGATGGATGGATGGATGGATAGATGTTTTCATTTTCTACTAACCTCTAGTACAATTCCCAGTTACAAAGTTACAGTTCTCATACGCAGTACAGTTGCAAGCATACTGACAGTCCTTGCCATAAAATCCTTCACCACACTCTAAAATTAAATATATCTGTTAGTCTACAGCTCGTTTGCACTCATTTCCTATCTGGTGGTACAAAAAAAAAATCCTTTCTCTTGAACATTGAATTCTAATTCTATCTGTGAGTTAACTGTTCCCTGACTTAGATCAGCCCAGAGGTTGTTTCAGGGTTCGATCTGTGAGTTAGCCGTGCCCTGGCTTAGATCAGCCCAGAGGTTGTATCAGGGTTCAGTCTGTGAGTTAGCCGTGCCCTGACTTAGATCAGCCCTGAGGTTGTTTCAGGGTTCCATCTGTATTAAAAAGAATATATTAAAATGAATAACAACATCTTGTTTGTATGGTCCATTATCCTTACTTGCTTCACAGGTCTCTCCAGTCCAGCCATCATCACAGCTGCATCGACTTGTAGATTTGTTACATTCTCCATTGTTACGGCAAAAGCCTGGTACATCAAGACAACCAAACACTGGAAGAACCGCATAAATATGGATAAACTTCAAACAAAAATTATCAAGTGACCTGAGATGGAGAACATTACGTTCAAGTGTAATGGGACTTTTCTATTTTTACAGCTCACAGCAACCTTAAAGTTCAAGTCAACCAAATGTAAGGTGGTGGCCATATGTCACATAAAAGAGATGGCCGCCATGTTGGTAGATATAACGAAAGAAATCAAGACCAATTTTTTTGTCAAAATCAACCACAATGGCGGCTATGACATCACATGCGTCCCGAACATTTAGCTACCCAACGGAGATCTCCCGTTACCCAAAATGGCGGCTATGACATCACATGCGTCCCGAACATTTAGTTACCCAAGGGAAATCTTCCGTTACCCAAAATAACGGCTATGACCTCACATGCACCCCAAGAAATTAGTTATCAATGGGTAAACCGTTAGCCAAAATGGCGGCTATGACGTCACATGCACTCCAAGAAATTAGTTACCCAAGGGTGTACCATTACCCAAAATTAGCGCTGACCTTTCTCGCACCTTTTCCCTGTGGTTTCTGGGGGGCAATGACAGACACCGTTCAGGGGGTCGCACGAAGCATTCCTTTCACAGGCACACCGCTGATGGCAGTTAACGCCGTAACGACCATGAGGACAATCTGTGGAGAATAAAAGTCGTCACGCTAAAAATAATGTCATGTACATGCATAAATATGGTTGATAGAGGGCTTTGCATCATCACGTGAGGACAGCATGACAGGAGGCAAAGCAATAGTCTTTTTTCCTCTTTTTTATCATTATTATCATTATTATTGTTATTATCACTACTATCGTTAATATTTTCATTAATATATGCATAAAGTACGTACCTAGTTCACAAGTTCTGCCAGTCTTCCCAGGGCTGCACGCGCATTGTCCTGTCGCGGGATCACATGGGTCGTCGCCAGGGCAACCACAAGCTAATTTACAACCAATACCATAGAAACCAGGTGGACAAGCTACGAAGCAGAAAAAAGTAAGGCGCGGGCACAAGGTGCAACATATGCGAGCAAGATTGCAGGTAATGCTGCTGAAGTAGGATCCTCGCGTTATCGAAATGAAAAAAAGCTTTATCTTTATCTTACATTGAGTGCTTGTAACATTGTGCGAAGAGTYGTACCATGTGTCCGTAGCTTTAAGGTTTAATTATTTACAAATATTTAGGTTATCTATAAATACTGAATTGAATGATATTTAATATACAACTTATTTAATAAATAAAATTTCACTCACATTCTTCGCAGTATTTTCCTGTTATTCCGGGAGGACATAAGCACGTGCCTGTCACGTGATCACAACGAGCCTCCCCGGCGCAGCGGCACTGTTCACGACAGTTTCTACCATATGTACCCGAAGTGCATTCTGGGAACAAACGGGTATTCGCAATGCTATTGAGGGGAGTTGGGTACGTATAGATTGAAGGGGTAGGGGAAAAGGGATGAATGGGATAAATGGGATAATTGAAATTAATAGGATAGATGAATGAGTGGATGAATGGRATGAATGGGGTGAATGGGATGAATGGATGAATGGAATGAATGGGGTGAATGGGAGGAATAGGACAAAATTTGGAGGAATGAAAAGAATAGAAATAAAGAAATTTCACGATGGGCTCCTGTTGTGACACATTTGAAAGATGAGGCAAAAAAATTTGAAGCCAGTCACTTATTTTGTCATGATATTACAAAGAAATCTCGCAAGACACATTTGAATATTCTTACTTTGTTCACATCTTTTGCCGGTGCGTCCCGCGGGACAGACACAGGATCCCGTCATTGGGTCGCACTTGATATCATAAGAACATTTACAGCGCTGTTCACAGTTGAATCCAAACCAACCTTCACGACAGCCTGAAGTTAAGAAAAACAATCATCAAAATTTAGTTCAAAAATAAATAAATATGAATAACAATAAAATTCAAAATCATAAGAGACCAATACGATTAGCGTGCTGTAAGTCAGAACCGTACGTTTCCCACTTATACGGAAACCGCTCTACCACAAGGGCATGAATGGAAAATATAATTGAGACATCATAGAGTAAGGGTCCAAATCCAGATCTCAGAGGGACTCCACAAGTTATAGGTCTATTTCTCAAGGATCTGTGCGCGACAGAACGATTAAAATTACAAGGATAGTATRCAGCTTTTTTTGGAAATATTTTAATATATAACCATGCAGGAAGATTATTGCGTACCTTCAGTACACTTTAGGCCCATTTTACCCATTGGACAAATGCACGTGCCAGATATAGGATCACAGCTGATATCTGGTCCACACTGACAGCTGTTGGAACACCCAGGCCCATAGCTTCCTTGAGGGCACACTACGATACAATAGAATAGTAAAATAAATGCAAAACAACCTTGTTTAGAGAGCTATAGAATCTTTTGTATTTCGTCGGAATGCAGCTAAATTTGAAAGACATAACAATAGGGTTCCAATAGTCCCTTTTACAGTTCCCTGCGCCATGTTGAAAAGTAGCCGTGCCTTAGCATCAAAGCGAGACTAACGGTGAGCTTGCAATGATCGAGTCCGTTTTTTAACACCCTTGACGATTATTCGCATGTYCCTATCATTGCAAGCTCACCGTTCATCTCGCTGCGATGCAAAGGCACGGCTACCTCTCAAGATGGCACAGGGAACCGTGAAGGGGACTTTTCTCTTACGCTTGAAATTCTTTTGTTCTGTCCTCCAAATTGAGCTTCTTTGACGTCACATAATTATATTCGAAATATAGCTTACCTGAATCACATAACTTTCCCTGGAAACCAGCTTTGCATAAACATGAGCCATCGATATGATTACAGCGGTCAGTGTTGCTCAAATGGCATTCGCAAACAGAGACGCAATCTCTTCCATAACGCCCTGATAGACAGACTAAAGCCAGCATTTTTACAGTCATTTTTTAAAGATTTTTTTAATGAATTAAATATTTTCCAAATGCAGAGTTACCTGATTCACAGGACTTTCCTTGAAAACCATCTTTACATAAACATGTGCCATTGATATGATTACAGCGGTCGGTGTTGTTCAAATGACATGCGCAAACAGATGCGCAATCCCTACCATATCGACCTGCTGGACAGACTACAAAATCATCAAAATTAACTTATGACCTCTGTTTTTTTAATACAATTTATAAATATGTGTATTACCTGATTCGCAGAGTTTTCCATGATAACCAGCTTTACACAAACATGAGCCATCGACATTATTACAGCGGTCGGTGTTGTTCAAATGACATGCGCAAACAGATGCGCAATCTTTACCATATCGACCTGTCGGACAGACTTGGACAAACATACAGAAATGATGTAAATACATAACTTTGCAAGCTAAAATCCATTGGATTTCCAACATCTAATTATATTTTGTGTATAGAGCATTTTCACTCACGTGAGATGGCATCAGCCATATTGGTGTACAAAACAAAAAAATTTTCTGAACAGTTTTTGCATAAAAATAGACCAACATGGCCGCTGTGATGTCACGTGAAAACGCTCTATAGCATGGCACCGTAGCCTAGCTACCAAGGTAGCAACTGTTTCCATAGCCAACATACATACCTTCATTACACTTATCACCAAGGTAACCAGGATCACACGTGCAGGCCCCAGTCTTGTGGTTGCATGGTTCGTTATTGCGACACTGACAGAAAAGTTTACATCTTGGTCCATAAGTTCCCTTAGGACAGACTGCAGAAGAAAGAGAAATTATGACAAAGGAATGAATACTACTTACCGCTACTTTGGCATTCGATATATAACGCGCTGTTTTTAAGACCACAGTCTCATTTGCACAGGCTTAGCCTTGCTTATGAGTTGTTACAGATACCATTAAAAATCCGGAGACTTCAAAACATCGAGTTGTTCAAGCTGCTCTTAAACGAAGCAAAGCCCGTGCAGATGAGTCTTTCGTCATAAAACACGGCGGTATTTAACGAATGAAAAAAGGGACTAGTAATGAATATGTTTGCCTATCATTGTAGGTTGGTAATGAGATTCATGAGATTCATTCAGCTGATTGATATCAAGCAATAGAATACTCTGGTTGATAGCACATGAATTGCAGTGTTTGCCTGTCATTGTAGGCTGGTAATGAGACTCATGAGATTCATTTAGCTGGTTGATACCAAGCAGTAGAATACTCTCTGGCTGATAGCACATGAAGAACAGTGTTTGCCTGTCATTGTAGGTTAGTAATTCATGAGATTCATTCAGCTAATTGATTTCAACTTTTATAATACACTCTACAAAATTACTCGATTCTGATTGGGCAAGAGGAGTACAGTTAAATCCAAAATTGTACTCTGCAGAGTCCCAATTAAGTTAAAACATCGCACGATCTTCTCGTACAATTCTAAATGCATAGATGATACTCGTGATGTTTTGAAAGTTCTCAAACATCACTCGTACCTATAAATTCCGAATTGTACACGAGATCGTGCGATTTCCTATACAAATTTCAATTCATACCTCTAAAGTTTTTACCATAATAAGAACCTAAGGTGTTTTTTTTTCTTACCATCCTCACAGTTTTTCCCTCTATATCCTGGTCGACAGTCACATGAGCCCGTAGTCATATCGCACGATCCACCATTAACGCATGCGCAAGGGACAAGACAATTAACTCCATATTTATCTAATTCGCACGCTGAGAAAGAAATTTTAGAATGTTAATTAGAATTGTCATTAGATTTGATTTTAATTTGGGCGTAATGGTTTCCCATTTCAGACCTCGTGGTATGTTCTCTTGAGAATTATATTTTTCGTTTGAATTGTATCTATATTCATGTGCCTTCTCATGCGCAACCGTTAAACAAAGAAAGGATACTCTAGGGAATGACACGTGGACTGAAATAGGGAAATATTATGCCAAGATTTGATAATATACGAAGTCCAGCGTCACAAGGTTTTTCCAGTAAAACCGGTTTTACTTACATATATTACAGGTCATTCCTGTCCAACCAGGAGGGCACAAACACCGTCCACTTCTGATGTCACAGCGCGCACCATTTGCGCAGTCATCACAGGTCAAACCACATCCTGGACCGATGTATCCGTAAGGGCACGCTGTAGACGGCAGAAGGAAAATACGTTAACGTTCATGCGTGCGGTATATATCATTGAAATGATAGCAATATTAAACTGAACCAAGCAGCCAACCGGCCAA